CTCAGAATACCCGCTGCAGTTGGGATTGTTGGGGTATAACTTAGTAGAACTAGTTCTTTGATTTTGCACCCTATATTTCAGCATGGTGATGGTGACATATCATGATCCACTTCACGACGGGTCCCCCTACGATCGTCATCTTTGAGAAGTCGATCGTCCTCTGCGACTCATGATCAAGACCCGTGTTTTCTTTTTCCACTGTGTTTTCTGCATCCCTTGAAATCTGATACCCTCTGGTAAACTAACATAAGAATGGAAAATCACCATTTTTAATGGGTAAATCAACTATAAATAGCAATTTTCAATAGCTACGCTAAATACCTGAGGGTAAGACGGTAAGACCATTTGTTTGACCATGAAATTCATCATGATACCAAGGAAATCTGTAATCTTGCTCAGTATTCACCATCGTTTTGTTGATGATAAGATCCCAATTTAAATCATTCACCAATATCCTCCTCGTGGCTTAGCCAGGCAACACTTTTTTTAGCCGACCTCAAAAAGGTAGAAAAAACAAAATCCTATCTAAATTGATAGTTATATAATATATTAAGATCTACCTATATAGGTACCTAATGGTACCTATATAAATTAAAACACGTGAATTCGTATTGAACAAACTGCAGCCACCCTGTCACCGAAGATCACCGCCTGGGAGATGGAACTGCCATGCCCGGCCTAAGGTCAGAGCGGCTTTGGTTCTCCAAATGCGTTTTTTTTAAACGTGCCACTAAGGCCACAACATATGTGTGTTTATATATTAATATATATATACATTAAATATATATATATACACATACATATACATATGATATACATATGATCATATGTGGATTTGTCCAATCATCGGATACCCGAACATCGCATGGTTGATCATCATGTGTCCCCATATGCAAAAACACACACACATATATATATATATATAATACATATTTATTTTTACATTTTTCCGTGCAAAACATGCAGATACAATCACATAGCCTGATACTCGAATAGACAATCACATATCATGACGCTCGAATAACGCAACAACTAAGACCTGGATGCTTCCAACAATGATTTCCAAAACGGATTTTGTTCCAGCAAATTCTTGTTGGATTGACATCATGTATAAAAACATTTTGGGTTCGAGGTAATCATTCAGACTGCAATGGCATGTCACCAAGTTGTCGACCCACATTTTTCATCATTTTTCCATTGCCATGTCTGATTGCAGAAGGGCAATTGGCATTTTCATCTTTAACAACATGAAAAACATGAAACATCAAAACCAGATCTTGGGAACCGGTCCACTCGATCCAGGGTCTGTTTCTTGATGTACTGCCATGCGTCTCTTTCATTTTTAGCAGACCTGGCGCCGGATCCCGGAGCATTGCCCTATTTCAAATGGCTCTTTTTTGGGGGTTTCTCAAACTTGGGGATCCTCAGTCGTCACCATGGGTTTCAACTTGATGAAATGGGCTAATGACATCTAATGACTTGGATGATTGATGATGATTGATGATTGGGGGCGGGTACCCCCATTTTGGGAGATCCCCCTATCCTTCACACTATGAACTCACAACAAATTGGGTTCCGCAATCTGTTGCGGCAGTGTCATGCAGTGTCCAGCCTCGACCCTGAACCAAATTGGGCGAACGAATGGTACAAATCAGACAAAGCCTCCAGTTGACACAAATACGTGGCTCTTATTGGAAAATATCATCTAATGAATTCTAATATCATCTAATGATATCTAATGAATATCATTGAATGCATAAAAACTGAACAAATCAGGATGTTCCATTTTCCATTGCCAGGATCAATGGCTTCAAAGCACGGAGGCTGCTCGGGCCACCTGTAACTTCTACCTAACTCTGGAGTGTGAAGGTGAACATAAATAGACAAACATTAATCAAACCTTCAATGAATAACTGTGAGCAAGGGGTGGCTAATGTCGTCAAGACCCTGCATAAATAATCATCAATGTTCACCTGGTTACTCAACATTCCATGTATCGAAAAGCTTAGTGTCCATTGTACTGGTTGACACGGAGTCCCACAATTGGTCATACATTTGGTCATTGATCACCAACAACACAACCATTTTCCGAAGTCCCTAACACATCAACTGTTCCCCCAGTGATGATTTGACGGCAAGACCGGCAAGACGGAAACCGCCAGCAGCACAAAGGTACGCGACAAAGGGGAGGCTGCACTTTCACATCGCAGGCCTTAGGAAAATCCCGTGGTTTCCCTATGAAAATGATCTACATTCATGATGGGTTTTCCGCATCTATGCTACTATCAATTTACAGTAGGGGAACCAACAAAATTCGAGGTGTTAGTGTATGTTGGTAAAAACCAGCCACCACTTGAGAGCAAGCGGAGGCGAACGAAAGGCAGTATAGTGGGAATGGAGTAGAGTCAAAATGCTGCGCCCCTTTTGTTCAGCATTGGCGGGAGATGTCCGTGTAGTCCAGCATGATTGGTATGTGTTTGGTATGTTTCAGCCTCAGCAACAGTTGCTGCAAGGGGTCTTAAAAAGGGGTTTTAAATAAACCCCCTTTTCGTGCATCATTTCACGCTGCACAAGACACTGAGACGCGCGGCGGATGCTTCTATGTTCTAACATCGCTGGACATATATGCATATCCACCCAACACTACCCCATGTTGTGAACAAAAGAACATGACGTAGCGTAGCATGACAGATGTATGTTAAGGTCACGAGAACATGACGTAGCGTAGCATGACGTATGTATGCTAAGGACAAGAGAACATGACGTAAAGTAGCATGACGTATGTATGTTGAGAGTAAGAGAACATGACGTAGCGTACAAAGACGTTATTGCCCCACCCAACCCCACCCCAACCCCCAACATCACCCCAGATGTAGCATGATGATGCATGATGTATGTATGTCAATGGCAAGAAAACGTGATGTAGCGTACAATGTCGTTACTGCCCCACCCCCCGCCCCACCACAGATGTAGCATGACGTATATATGTGAAGGGCAAGTGAACATGAGGTAGCGTACAATGACATTATTGTTCCATCCCAGTAAAAAAATGTCGTTTTCCTCCACATTGGGAACGCCGGCGATAGCAACAAGCTTGGAACTGCAGGCCAAGGGTTTGCCAAACTTAAGAACAGCACCAGCTCAAGCCAAAAACATTGAATGGGAAAACTGTGGTTTTGTAGGGCGCAGTATACTTATCTAGTGTTTGATGCCCCTGATGCTAGGGGACATGCTGGACCTGCTGCACCAACACCTTTGGTATCTTTGGTCCAATGATAGCTCCAGGCAGCCAGTGATGCAACTGCACCACTCCGTATTTTCACTGGACCTAACTATGCGAATTCAATTTTCAAAACAGGTGTAGCTGGCTGGTGAGAGCGTTATCAGTTATCACATAGCCCGCACCCTGAGGAAGAAGCCGTACTGACTGCCTGAGGTGCAACCGGCCCATTGGAAACTCCGGAATGGACCCCTATCATGAACAAATCCAGCCCTAAAAAGGGCCTCTTGGGATCCGGAGTTATGGCTTTCTGTGGCTAAAGTGGGGTGAACATGGAATAATCACTGGAAAAACAGCTTCTGAGCCTTACTTTTGGATCAATTGCTCAAAAAACTAAAAGCAGAATAAGGTTTGGGAAATCTGTCTGGGGCTCAGCATCCGGACGGGAAAGGGTCAACACAGCTTATGTAATGCTGAGATTTTGATAGACATAAAACCAACATATATGATACTGGTAGGTAGAGGTCGGCTGTTCATTCCCTATTCCGACTGCAAATAAAAGGGATTCCAAGCCTCTACCTTGAACCTGAAATAACGCATGGTGCGGTTCCCCAATATAGATAGCAACCCCCAAAAAGGATGGAAACAGAACATAACACCTCTTAACCAAATATGTTTGCGTGTTACTACTATACACCATCGTTTTCCTAGGTTGCAACGGCATCCCTGGTGCCTCCTGGGCAGCGTTGTGCCTCGGAATCGACTCTGGGATCGTTCTAACCTCCTAGAAACTTAGCAGTGTTCCCATCCGCCCTAGATAGAGAGAGAGAGAGGGAGAGAGAGAGAGAGATAATATATATATATATATACATAGGAATTTCCACCATTCTGGGTGAGTGTTGATATGAGTATGGCTCAAAACGGAACAAGTGAGTGACGTATAAGAGGGTCTGATCCGGACCTATTGAAAAAGGTATACACTAAAGATTACTAAAGTGGCCCGGAATATGTGAATGAATTTTATGTATAATTACGCACATATATAATCACATATATATGGTAAACTATAAATGAAATTAAATGAATATATATATATATATTGAAAAGGGATGGCATCAACTTCATTCAGCTGCCTATGAACTGATGCAAAGCAACGCGGATGGAATTGGTACCAACCCTCGACGTGCGCATTTTAATGCATTGTCCAACAAGGAAAACCATGAACATAGATTAATTAAAATAGATAGTTAGATAGTCAGACAGTTAGATAGTTAGATAGTGATTTCAAAAACACATCGAACCGTGAATTACTGTAGACACAGTGAATTCTTCTCCAAGGCAGGGTGTGATCCCTAACACCTGGAGCATCATCACAGCTGACTACCAAACATTTGCGGGTTGAGAAGCCACAAACGTGGCTTGTATGATTGGGTTGACTCGGGTTGACACAAAAAAACATCAAAAAACACTGCCCAGCAAAATGCTTGGATCATGTTGGCTGTTATATTTTTCTCTGTGCAAGGTCAGCGCGATGCTTTCCGCAGGCGTTGTGAAATGTCGTGAAAGTTCAGCGTTCGGCTGCATCCATGGCCAACACAATGGATACCCGCCACGGACATGGGTTCTCTTTGAGTACCACCATCATTACCCCCCGATGGTCCATGGTCGGACATGACATACATCCAAAGATCTTAACATTCAGCTGTCGATTCATCCAGCTATCTCAGTCATGTAGGAAATATCGCCACCTATGCCTAATGATCACATCTCAATTCTTGATGGCAAAGTCAAACTCCCAACTTAATATTGGTGGCCAACCATTTTTAGATCAGTTTAGTCAGGAAATATGTACAACCCAGTTCCACACAACAGCTGAAAGGCTACCAGCCGTTGTCCATCCAACTCTCAGTACTTCAGCACAGTCAGCGGAATCGTGTCCTCCTGAGATATGTGAAGTGACAACCATCGGATGAGCCCCACCTCATAGCACACAACACACGCCCCCTATTGTTGCGGGATGTTGCGGGTAAAACCATGCATGCCTCCCACCAGTGACATAGTTTCGTCTGAACACAGGGTGTATATACCCCAAATCTGATGGTCTATTTATCATGTTCGCTACTGACATTGCAATTTAGGCTGTTCCGCATGATTTTTGGACAAATCATGACAAATCCATCGCATTTTGTCAGTCGCAAATATCCAATTTTTCTTCGATTAAATCCCACACAAACATGGACAAACCCAAGTTTTCTATTGCGCATTGGGTAAAGTTTTCCTCACATTGGACGAAGCCAATATCCGTACTTCATTGGTTTAATCGAGTCGTTCACTTCATATTTTTTAAAGCCAATATGTTTTAGATCGTTTTAGTGTGTGTTTAATGTGTGTTTAATTATTGCTTATTGTTCTATGATCATGCATTATTGTGTTATTATGAACCTGGTCTCTTTGAGCCTCGCTTTTTCGGTCAACCCTTGATGTGAATCCAATAAATCGAACCTATCCCGGTCACCTTCTTCAGCTTCTCCAACAGCTCTCCGCCCTTGACTGGCCTAAGTGTTTGATCGAAAACGGGTATGGCGATTCCCCCGAAAAAAAGGTACAGAAAAGGCGACATTTATCATATAGATTTCCTGAATTGGATTTACAGTAGTCTTTATCTTTTTTTTTTTAGGGGGTGGTACTATAGTTAGGCTAGCCCAGGGTAAGGTATGTACTCTACTAGGGTGGGGCAAGGTAAGGTAGGGTAAACTATAGTAGGTAGATGGGTGGGTAGGGAGGTAGGTGTGAAGGTATGATGTGTGTATCCATGCATGTCATGCAAGTATACATTGCAAGTGCATCTGCATGTGTGTGTGTGGTCTTGGTACGCCCGATTTGTTTTTGTTTAAATTACACAAACAATAATAGCACCGCACGACAACAACAGAAACATGTGCGCATATGTACATGTACATTTGTAGAATGATGTAGTATGCATATTTGCGCAATCCTGGTGGTACAACCATGTTCAAGAAGGATGAAACATATCAGGCTCAATGGTTTTCAGTCTTGTTGCTTCTGTCCTCATTCTGAAATTCGGTTTGTATTCCCATTGTGCTTCCTTCTTTTCCCTCCTTTCTAATTTGTTCTTAATCTCGAAGCTAAATGCAATCCACCAATCATGTTTTAAGCTTTGCAAGCAGTTCCAAACGGTAAACATACAGTTTCTGCCTTTGGGTTTCCCAAGTCTTTCCCACACTATGTAGCATCTACCCAACTGCAGTTGGTCAGGATTTTCGAAGTGAAGTAACATCACGAATGTTCACCCAATGTGGCTCTCATTCCCCCCCCGATAATTTAACATGGCTTGGTGGAAAATCTGCAATTCATACTGTAGATGATATTCCCACTAAAACCTGGATTTACTGTGGATTTCCCATTGCCATGTTTGATTACTGGAGGGTATAGAGTAACGCCATTTGGGGACGATTCCAGTGACGTGAGGCCACAACAGAATTCAGATCAACTGCCCAAATGATTTCACATCATTTCCCCATCATATCCCCATTAATGAGGTTAAAGCAAAAACAAACTAGCCATTTGGCAATGGTTTATACAACCACATTATATCCCCATATCCCTTGATCCATGATGATCCTGCATCTCCCTATATAAACCTGCGACGCTTAAGTGGCTTTCCGTTGAACTCCACGATGCGATCAGAGACGCCAGCACGTTGCCCTGGCGTCAAAAAAACCGCATGGTGTGTTTTTTAATGCTGGGTTTCAATGGGGAAAGCATCTATCAATGGTAGGGGGTTCAATATTTTGGTAGGGTGTGTTGAAACCGTTTCAACATGATGTTTCCAAATGTTGTGGTGTTTTTGAACCCCGTTTCAATGGTTTTACGGGGTGCCCAGAAAGACAGAGAAGTTTTTCCATGACCCCCCCCCCATAATTTCAAGGTGTCCAACTTTTCGTTCTCTGTGTACCTCTATGTTAAGGGTTGCTATACATCTATCACAGTAACCCCCACAAATATTGAAGAGTAATATCCTATACTGAAACCTGATGGCAAATCACCCTTCCATCTTGTTGGGAGTTGGGGGCTGCTAACACCCCGTGTACAATAACATGGGGTTCACCCATTGCCATAGTCATGATCCAGGTTTGAGGTTTCATGAAATTGACTGCATCTCTACTTATTTGGGATGATGTCTACTAGTCTACTATGACCTGGGATGATTTATTCCTCGATTCCGGCACATTATACAAATGTGCCATGGTCAAAACAGGGTACATAGTACAATGGATGTAGTGTATATATATATATATCGTGGACATCCACCACAATATGCATTCATATATATATATATCGTGGCCATCCACCACAATATGCATTCATATATATAATATCATATCATATTCAATAATATGTATATGCATATATATATATATTATTATATGTATACAATATATATATATATATTGTATACAGTATTGGAAAACATACTATACAAACATGTTAGATAGAATAAAATGTAATGCAACAAAATTGATTAAAACCATTTATAATCAAAAATACATATATATATATATATAAAATGATGCAGACATTTATTGATGTTATATATATATATCAAGAAATACAAAATGTAATAACATAATAAAATCAAATGATACTAGTAATACATAAAACAATTTTCAAAAATATATCGGCAATACGATGTATAATGATAAAACAATATAACATGTAATAACTATAACACGAAAAACATGTACAATACATTGTGTTTTTATCAATATACCATAACAATATTTAATAACATATCACAAACAAATTCAAATGAATAATATTCAACATATAAAACAACATATAACATAATAAAGAATAAACAGAATAAACACCATTTATATGATGTATATATATATATACGTATAATTTATAATGTTTATCTATATTATACAGACATAGATTTCATCAATCTTTCGACCATGGCAACTCACTGCGGCCTGGATTCTCCTTGTTCCATTTGGCCAGGATTCCAGTTTCGTTCAGCTCACCTGCGGGACATCCACACATGATCTGCTTGGTGCTTGACCTACCCCTCTGAAACATGGAGTAACAGTTGGGATGATGACATTCCCAACTGAATGGAATAAAAAATGTTCCAAACCACCAACCAGGGATTGAAATGGATGAAAATGGCACATGAATTCAGCTGGATGTATAGCAAGGGTTCCCAAAAGTGAGGTACAAAATAGATCAAAATAATTACTATGTAAACTGGCATGAATCATGGCACAAATTTCATGTGCCTCGTTTTTGGCATGCATTTCTTCAGGGTCCGGACCACGACATGCAAATTCGGGTGATTTCCCAGGGATTGGGCTGAACTAAGCATCAGCTCCGACGAAAGATGTTCTATCATGTTCTGTCCTGCAACTTGGAACAATTTGGTACGTGCTACATCTTGGTACTTGGTTTTTGATTTTGCTTGGTTAAGTATGGTTAAGTAGTTGTGCATGCTCGACCAAACCGTAAGATTCAATTCGAAATCCAACAATACAAAACATATTTGCTACTAATATGTAAATCCAAGGTTAACAAAAACATGCAAAAAACCAAGGAACATCATGAAAAATAAGTATCTAATTGAGCATCGCAAAACAATCATTCCCCGCCTGAAAAAAGACTTAGTTACCTCCCTCTACCATTACCCTCTGCTCTCGAACCAAGTTGCTGATGACGCAGCCCATACTCGTTTCCTTGTAGTCCATCTTCATTCCCAAAGGGCCCGTCTTTTTGAGCGTCACCCTGGGACCGGCATTGGTGCCGTTTCTTTGCCACAGGGCAACTACTGTAGCATTTCAGAGTACATACAAGTCTATCAATTTATTGTATATAGTAATGCCCAAACAAATAGAAATGTGTAAAAATACGACTAAAATAGTGGTAAATCTATTCAATTTCAGGTCTGAGGCTACCTGACATTGCCATGTTGCACCCGGTGCACCGTGGTTGGACCCGGTGCCAGAAATCCATGAAATCCATGGACGGATTTACCACCAAGGAGCTGCACTTTCTGCGGGCGACTCAGGAGCAAAGTCACCTTGGTCTCAAAAGGCGACCCACCCAGATCCAAATCTTCAAACTGACCATGGGAAAGCACGATTTTTTGGGGAACAACATGAACAAAATTGTTTTTTTTCATGGGATGTTGGATAGATATCTTCATTCAAAATATGGCAAAATTCCATTTTTTGAGATAAAAAATGGATATCCCATTCCCCCCAACAGGAAAAACACACCGTATATAATTGGTCCCAGTCATATGTGTTTTCATCCCCTACCTTCCCCCACGGTTTCTTGGTGCTGTTTATCGTCCACGCGCCAGAGTTTCAACTGCCTCAATTTCCCAAATGTGCGATTTTTTTTCCACACATAATTGCTTGGGAAATTAGCATGGTGTCCAATAATATGTCGACAAGAAAAAAACACATGTTCATCAGATATATCTGGTTGGTGGTTGACCTACCCCTCTGAAAAATGATGGAGTTCGTCAATGGGAAGGATGACAACCCATATATGACATGGAAAATAACAGCCGTGTTTGAAACCACCAACCAGTAATATGATCATAATATATGATATATTATCATACATATTACATCCATAATATATGGGTATATTACAACCATTACATAGCAATATGTATTACCCTCTGTTAAAGAAACATAACCCTGAAAATCACCAATTTTTAATGGACACTAGTCTTCCAACCCCGATGACTGGCAGGGTCGAGGGTAAATCATCCCTCCAAAAACCATTCGTTTCACAGCGCCCAGGTGCCGTTTCGGGAAGTGTCGCCAACTTGCCCTGGATCTCATCGAATCCCTTGACACCGTCGACCGCCTCACGACATAATGGGAGCCATCGCAGCGAAAAAGTTTTTGGCAGTGTCACTCTCCTGAAACTCAGAAAAACATAGAAAAAACAGGCTTTCATCATCAGAGGGTTTCGAACATAAAAAAACGACCTTAGCATTTTCTCAGAGAAACCCTCTGGTAAACGTTAACATAACATAACTATGGAAAAATCCACAATTTTCAATGGGTAAATCCACTATAAATGGACCATTTTCCATAGCTATGTTAAATTACCAGAGGGTATTGTCCCTTGTCCGGCATGCACTATGACCCTTGGCTTAGCACAAGCCGAAATCTGTACCCCACATGATCCACCATTCCCGGCTCCAGCTAAATTCCAGCTAACTATCGAACTGGCCTACATTCCTGGCCAGTTCGAAAAAAGGGCACCAATCCACCCACAGATTTATCTTCATTTTTGTTGGACATTTGTTGGATCCAAATGATCGAAATTTGGACGAACATGTGCCGTGCCATGATGTCGTGCCAGTCTCCGGCTGGCAAGGTGCCATGATCACATCGTAGACCTTGAGACTTTGAGTTGGCGTCTCCTGCAGATCGGCCCGCTCTCGATGTCTTTTTTTTTTTGGAGACAGTTGATGTGGATGATTATGGATATATATATATATATACATACAGAGATATTAATTATTGTACAGCAATGGATATTTACGGTATTGCTCATGGTTCCCCCAACAATCCCGATGATGGTGAGTGAGTCTTGGGTCACTATTCATCCACTAGAGATGCCACAAGTTGGCACCCAAAATCACGTGTGGCCCAAATCCTAAGCTACTTCAAATCTCTAGAATGCGTAATCATTAGGACATCATTAGGTAAATCATGTTAGGTAATATTTACAAATGATTTTCTACATATTTCAAATCTGAGAATGTTTTTTGGCAGCTGCAGCAACTCGCTGGAATACCTGGCCAGTTGCCCATGCATATCTTCTGCCCATCCTGTCTGTTTTTCACTGATGGTAATTTCTCTCCATAGGCTGTTTCTTGGCAACACGATTGATTTTCCATGCGTCTGTTGTCGTGTACCTCAGTGTGTAGCAACACACGATGCGGGCCCCTGAAGCTGCCATATCAACTGCCAAAAAAGCCATTATAAATATATAATATATATAAACGTGGATTCCATAAATCATCCTATATGTGCTATATAGACTATAAGCATCTATAAGCCACTTACGAAAAGCAGACACAACTTTGCAGGTCCATTGGTACCCACGTTTCTTGGATCCACCTCGTGATAACCCAAGTACTCGGCATGCAGCCTACCCTTGGGAGGATATTCCATTCCTACAGAACTGAATTCGATGGGACCCTCCCAAAAAATCCAACCCCTACTGTTTGGATATGAGGCTCTCATGACGATTTCCAATACTGAAACTACATTGGTCAAATGTGACATGTACTGAGTAACCTTAGTTTTCATGGTTTACCACCAATTCTTCACTGAAAAAAAAACTCATGATTTGACCATATTTAGCCAAATCTAACTATCTAACCACATGTAAAACCACCAAATCACGAGGTCCTTGTTGAACGCAGCAATGGCTCCGCCCGACTCCACTTCCTCGATCATATGCCCCGTACCTGGCGTGGGACGGACAGGAGACGGATCGTATGCTGACACCCATTTATGTCGGATAAATATATAATTATAGTTCTATATAGCAATATTTATGGATGACACACATATATATATATATTATGATTATGCATAAAAATGGTAAAGTTCCATTATATATATATATATAATAAATTTCAGTGTCATACATTTTGCATCTATTATAATACGTATATATATAATATATATATATATATATATTTCTGTGTCATACACTTTGCCTACTGTAATGAATAAACGCGCAGCACGTGCTATGAAAATACATTCTGCTATAATATAGCTGCTACTGTATACTTTACTAGACTTGTTGTGCCAGGAAATCGGGATGTCGCTGCATGTTGTCCTCGGTTTTCCTTCCAAAGTAGTGGCCTACAGTTTCCGATGGTTCACTCGTGTTCGCTGTAGGGTGCTGCTTCATTTGGTTGTTGTATCATCATGTTCTATCACATTCTATATTCTATAACTTACATATCAATAATTACATATCAAGCAATCGAAACTACATGATGTTGCAGCTTCACCTTCATGATTTTTTGCTGCTTCATCACATCCCTACCTCTCTGAAGTTGCATCCCAACTAATTATCCGATTTTGCTTCCAGTCGAATTCGGGTTCGATAAATATGCGGTGCAAAACATCACTCAAATTCGCTCGCCACACTTGAAACTTACTGATCGTGACGTGCCATTAGTTGCAACAGGAATCAACCATGGTTGAAGCGTTTAACTAATGGAGATACAATATACAGAGGGAAATTCACTATAAAAACATGCAACCTTGCAAACACCGAAGTTGGACATCTTAATTAATATGATCATACTGTTCTATTCAAATCAAGATTATCAAGATGTCACCGATGTCACCTTGAAGGTCAAGCTCCAAAAGGGGCACCTTGAGCGATTCCGTCCAGTTTGAGTCCCAGTGAAGCAAACCCCTGGCGCGATGGGTTGGACCTGGGACTTCGCCAACCTTTGCGGCGGGGAAATGGGCGAACACATTCGAGCCAACTACTCAACAGCAAATCGCGATGAAGTCGAACGCCAAGCAAAACAACCAAAACTGGATGGAAGTACGAAACACAAGTACAATCAATTAACATATATGTTAACATATATGTTAACATATATATTAACATATATATTAACATACATATTACAGTAACATATATATATATATATATTAACATAGTATATATTAACATCATTTAACATCAATCAATCTCTGATGGGAATTCCCAATGTTTCCCCCCCGATGTCCCAGGTCTTCGGTGTCCTTGGTTGACACCTCCACTGTGAAGCTTCCGAACTCCGGCGCCGGAACCAGCGCTTTCTTCACCGGCTCCGGGTCGGGAGCCACCGCCGGCACGGCCGGCACTGAGGGAATGCCTAGGTGGAAGCAAATCTAATGGGAGCCATTCATGGGATATTAAGTACTTGGGATAAGTATTGGGGTAGTTAAATATATTAAATATTGGATATTTATATGTGTAAGTAATTGGAGATGAAGTACAGGATCTCAATGAGATATTGAACAATTGGATATGAATGGCATATTGCAAGTAGTGGGGGGATGGTTATATCTATTGGTGGGATTTCAATCGACATGATTAGTCAGTGAGTTTTTTTTTAGTGGATACTCTCTGAGTCATCTCATCCCCCCAACCATGGTTTCTGAGGGTGTTTCATATGAACGGGGGAAGGGAGTACTATAATTAAACATATTGGGAGACTATCCCTGGGGCTCCGTTTTTTTGGGGGCCCAAAAACCCCCGCATTCTAGTTGAGCAATGTTGAGCACACTAGTGGAATGTCATGTTATATCAAGTTGCGGATGGTATAGCAAGATTACCATAGTTTTCGAATGTGAGTTCTTTAAACCCCAAACATACCGGATTTTCTCAGGGGATTGGATCCATAGGCTATGGCAACACCAGAAATCCATAGGTTCAGACTATGGGAACTGCAGAAAAACCTTCGGCCACATGGCTGGCAGGGAGACTCCCTGTAAATTGCTATAGGAGGAACATCATCGAACTACAGTAAAATGAGTGATTTTCCATGCCATTGCCGTGTTTGATGACTTTTTGGATAATTGAATGGGATTTGACCAACACAAATATGGGAATAGGGGATACTTCGTGGATTTAATCTTCAATATCCCAGCCTCTTCGCAGCTGTATTGCTTATAGATCTTATAGGTTTATCTGAACATGGAGTACCCCAAAATCCAATGGGTTGTAATCATTATCATCCCCATTCATCCCCTTTCTCATGAACATGCGCATTTTGGGGCATAAACATGCATAAAACCATATAAAACCCAATGTGGCCAAAACCATAGGCTAGCTGCTATCCAAGTCGACATGCACCATCTATACAGGGAATATCATGGAATGGAAGGATTCCCACAGCTGGAATAAACCGGGACATGGCTCTTTGATGCTGGACATCTGCCACCCTCGAGAGGCAACACAAACATCGGGCAAACATGACCAGCGCTAGTGTGCTTCAAGAGATTCAACAGGATCTCACCCATCCATCATCTTTATTCATGGTTTACCCCATTTAAATCTGAATCAACGGCACATCCAGTAATTCTCTCTGTAATGATGGGCCATCTCTACATGGTATTAAAGATGCACCAAAAACATCCAAAAACCAGCGCTTCCCTTCGAAGCACCGATCTCGGCAGTTGAATCAGCTGGCTCCGCTTGAATACAGCATGCGAACATGGTGGATGTAGCGCTGCGGGGCGGGTTACGCGGCGGGTTCAGCAGAACTTTGAGCCACAAGGCGCTGGGTGCGTAACATGCCACTTGGATCAACTTGGAGAACCTGTCAAACGAACTTTTTACGATAATGTCAACCAATCAACTCGAAGCCTTTGGTTGTAAAGTCATACAGGGAAGTCGTTTAGATTCCTGAGGGTTTGGATGAAACGTGTCAGTGGCGATTTAGTGGGGTTCAGTGCTTGGGATCTTTAGCCACAACCCCGCAGCCCTTGGTGGCGGGTTCTGGCTTTGAGCTGGTGAATGGGCCTGAGTTAGCCAGAGTTTCTCCGCTAAGAACATTTTACGGCCAGGTGTTCATGTCTATATACCAAAATGCAATATCACGGATATGAACCAGTGTGAGCTTGCATCGGCACAAGCACACACACACACGTATATATATATATATATATCTCTCTCTCTCTCTCTCTCTCTCTGTCTCTCTGCATATATGGTTCCATACTAGCGCGGTCCCCATCTCTGCGGGATATATATACATATATATATATATATAATTATATATATATATATGTGTATATATATATATATCTATATGTATCTATATGTATCTATATGTATAATACCAGCGGCTCCTGTTTAAGACTTCATTTTTGGGAATTTGTGGGCCCGTGTTGAGTGGCAAAGTCTTGCATTTTTCATGGCTGTTTTCTTGCCCTTGGTACCAAAATGTTGGTTTCACAGTTGTTAGATAAGTTATATTATAATTATTATATAGATATATTATATATTTATAGATAAATTATATTGTTTGTATATATATATATGTGCGATTCCATGTAAATATAAAACACTAGATAACATCTTATAAGTTCTAATAAGTTCTTGTGCTATGGCTGCTTAGGCATGTATCCCAGCCTACCTATACCACATGGATCCGCCTGTGCCGGATCCAGGTCACTTTGGGGGGACTTGGGGACCTTGGGGATTAGGGTGGGAATTGGGCGACTAGATGGACATCTGACATCTGCCCTTTGAGAAACATCGGGTCTTAACTTTAGGGGAGTTGGGGGGGGACTTGGACCAGGGGTGGGCTTGGAGACCAGGGCGGGACTTAATTAGGGGGGACTAGATTGATATTGGCACTAGAGAGACCTCTTACTTTAGGGCAAAACCCTCATGCTGTGGTGCGACACCCTTCTGTTTGAGTACAAAGGAGCTACTCGGGCAGAAGCGAGAGAAACTCGCGGGCACAAGCGGCACAGTAACCGCTCTAAGCCATGGCTTTATAATATAAAGCACACATAGATAGGAATACATCGAATGTTCCAGTTATATATAGAATTATGTAGAACCAATCAATTTAAGGATCAGAACAGCCCCTAGATTCTGCGCCTATTTTTGCATTGACATTGTTTTGTGTTTTTACCATGGTTTTACCTTGCCGCACCTTGCCACTTAAAAGGTTTCCCGGAACAAAGGTCACGATGATCACGGAAAGCTGAGCTCCGGCACAAGAACTTGTCTCCACGATTCACGTGTGCGCCGTCCAGGAGGGATGGGTCCTCCATTACGACAGAAGCTGCCCATGGAACGGCGATTCACGAATCAAAATGGTGGATTTAAGCAACAACAACAACAACAACAACACGGAAATAAATGTAAACAAGTACGATTTTTGGGCTTTGTCCAAACAAGGAGGGGTACCTTTTAAAAATGGAAACCATGGGATTTTGGGGTACCCCATCTTCGGAGCACCCAATTGCAATCCCCAGAAAGAATTAAAAAAAATGGAGCCTCGTGTTTCCTGGATGGTAGTTCGATGATGTTTTCGCCATATTTCCCATGCAGGGTTTTTGGGTTGCGTATATGTTGCTATATCTTTGTGATTCTTTTTGTAGATAATTTTCATACAGACTACTATGTTGGATGTTGAGAAGGATGCCTTCTCAATCTGAGAGATATCACATGGCATCACATGACAGTACATGAATTCTGCGCAGCTGGTGCGGTGGTTGCCTGTTGCAATCTCTCTTCAAAGCCCACCACATCTTCCTGTGGAGCCGGTGGGTGACACATCTTTTTTTCTTGATTGGATTGGTTTAAGGGAAAATTTACAGGAAATCATAGATTTTCCCAATAAATATGGGGCTTTCCTGCAGATTTTCCCTTAAACCAATCCATTGATTTCTGGAATTGGAACGGTTTCTTGTGAGCTTTTGACATGCTCAAACCTGGATCCCCGTTTTCATTTTGGATCTGAAGGTGCTACCCAGAAAGCGACAATGGTGGTCACTGTTGCAGGTCACAAGAGTTTTCTCATTGGTGGTTTTAAGCCCCCTTGAAACATATAAGTCAATTGGGATCATCCTCATCGCAAATATGGTTGAACAGAACATAGCAAATTTGGGGCATGTTTCAATGCAAGGATTATAGGAACCATCTACACAACGCAGGAAAGCATCGTTTTTTTTTTTTAACACCTTCCGGTCAAATCGGAGAATGGTGCATCATCATTTTCCCATTCATCATTTCCCCAAACATGCAAACGTGATATGACTATTACCGGTAGGGATCAATCCCCTTGAAACATAGTTAACCGTCAACGAAAAAAAGAGATTCAGAAATTTGTTGGAACATTGGAACATCCTGGAGCAAAACATAGTAAATTTGTATAAATATCATCAAATATACCTTTTGGTAAACATACAAACAGCTATTGAACATGGCCATAGAAATAGTTGTTTTTTTCATGAACAATGGTGGATCTGTCCATAGTTATGTAAACGAGGGTAAATCATTGTAAATCATGGTAAATCTATAAATATCTACATCCTAAATGGTTTATATAGATACTTATAAATCATGGTAAATCATGGTAAATCTAGAAATATCTACATCCTAAATGGTTTATATAGATACTTATAAATCATGGTAAATCATGGTAGATCTAAAAATATCTACATCCCGGAACAACTTTTTCATATCCTTTTCTCATGGCCTCGCTCGCCAAGAGAAAGCGCGCTGCGCCCACAGCGATGTGCGGCGTGGCTTTGCCTTGGGAGGTCGGAGACCTTTCGGGAGACCTTTCGGGCCGAAGACGTTTCGGATGTCCTGAAAATTGGAGTTTATTTGATGTAATACACACACATACATGTTACATATATATTAATTATAACATTATATATATATATAATATTGATAATATGATATAATATGAATCTATTATTGAACTATATGAGAAATATATGATAAGTTAATTGCCGTATAATATTGATTTAGGATAATATTGATGAATGATACTATATATTATATATTGCTTAATGATATTGATTAATGTAATTGCAATATTGAATAAGAATATTTGTGTGATTGAATGAATTTGATAAATGGGAATATGCAAATTCTTCTGAAATACCAGACATTAAGATGCGGGAATCAAGTCGCAACGATTGGAAAATAATTAGATTCAGGGGATCCTTGAACCAGTTCTAGGCATGTGTTCCCGCGCGTCTCTGAATCATTTTGCGATATAACAATATATAACATGCATACATGATACATCCATGTATATACGTGTGCGGGACAAATACCCAATATAGATTATAATATAATTACATAATACATATGGCAGTCATATGGCATCAACATATATCAAAATAATACGACTTCATAAGACACTGACAGCGTGTTGACAGAACCTGTGGAGCCCATCCCATCTCATCTCCCCGTTGTTTCACCGCTGCCCTGCCCCGGGTGCCCTGACTGCTGGGACATGCTGGTAAGGCAAAACGGTAAGAGTGAGCCAGGTGCCTGGCCAGAGCCGGGGACATCGTCAAACCACAAAAAAACAGCCTGACTTCATATTGAATAATGCATCTGGCGTATCCAAGGAGTTATAGTTATAGTTATAGTGAATAGTAATAGCCAGTATAGTTATAGCCTATCATTTTCGAATCTTATTCAATTTTGTTGAACGGCCAAGTGGTCATTTTGGCAAAGAACAGCCAGCTGGAAATGACTGCAGTGAAGCACCTGGATTTCCAAGTTGGGAAGTCCGCGGGCAACGGCAGTTCTACCATGGTGTACTGCGTGCAGAGCCTTAAGCCGCGCAGAAGGCAGTTGAGGCTTGTTGAGAGTCTTGACATCGCCACATGCGGTAAGGATTTCTAGCTTCTTATATCAATATGCAAATTTAATATATATATATATGTACACATATTTATATATACACACAACTATATACAATATACATATTATATAGGTACTGTATATATGATTAACAATTAATACTAATTAATGGGATATGATATTATACACGTAGAGAAGCCCACAAAAGATAGAACATAACAGTAATTTACGGCCATGTTTTAGTAGGATTTTACGGTTCTGTCTTTCTTGATTGCTTTATGATGCTTTATATCATACAAACGATCCTTCCTGCTGGAGGTCGCTGTGGGGCTGCTATCATTTGCCCAGCTGAAGACATGGGCGCGCCGTCGTTTTTTTCTCTGTGCGACGGCCCCCAAGGAGACAACTCCTCAAAGAGGCCCTGGCGATTGGCCTCGTGGCAGCTCCTCTATCGCCATATGTGGTTCGCTGATCAGAGAAATACCCTCTGATTTCATTTCTGGTGGGTCCTACATGAACCACTCATCATTCTTGACTAGCTGAAATGTCCTACAGCACTGCGGCAACTGCCACAGGCAAACGCAGGCTGTGCAAGACGTAGAGCAAGGTGGTCAGCACCGTTACACCACCGGCTTGATGCAAAACACCCAACTCAATGGGCACGTAGAGCATCAGGGTGGCGATGCCAAGGAACCTCAGTTGCACTTTGAGGTGTTGAATTGCCTTGGGGCGCGCCTTGGGGCCCCCCCTTGGGGCCCGCCCCCCTTAACCTTGGGCTGCTGTCCTAGAAGCCAAATGAAACCATATCCGGCTCAGTCTGCAGTGGTCTACACATCTTTCAACCCTCAAACACAGATTGACCTTCCCCACCATCCACCCACGGCGAAAAAATATCAAATTCACTATCTATAGATGATTTTGACATTTGAATGTTCACTTATAGGGATTTCCCATTGCCCGGTTTGATTTACATGTTTCCAGTCCAAAACCTTCCAAAACCCCATCTTCCAACCCTTTTTTGTAGGCTGGTGGAAAAACACCCCACCACAGGAAGCAGAAAGAACATTGGATCATCATCCCACCCCAGCATTGATGTTGGATAACTCTATGACTCTATGAATCTCTATGTTTTGTGGGTCGCACCCTCACGCCTGTTGGAATTTTGAAACCAACTCTGCTGAACATATATCCATTTCCATTTCAATTTTTTCATTGGCCATGTCCCCATGTTACTTACAACCCCCGTCTTGTGTTGAAATAAAAAACACATTGATGGCCAGTCTTGGAGGCCCTGCCAGAAATGAATCGTCATTAATTTTCAGCATTTTGAGATGTTTGGTACTAAATCCATATACAATCCCTATTTTAAAAAATGTACTGCGCCCCTTTCACCGTCGATTTCAACGCTTCCGTGGCACATCTGCCCGCCCAGCACCACAGGAAGCAGTGAGGAGGCCCCGGCTGCCGCAGCGGACAGTGGCAACTGGGTGCTGTAGAGCCACAGGGCCAGGGAGGCGGCTACCGAAGAGTAGGCCAACCTGAGCTGCTGATGATTGGAACAAAATGTGAAAAAATGGAACAAGTACTGGAAAGATATGGACAAATGGGGGGGATAGAAATGATTGGAAATGCTGTGATTTAAAGGTGCCGTAGCAATGTACGTTTGGTGTTCTTTCATCACCCCTTGCCCGGGTTCTTTCCATTTTTGTCCATCTACAGTGAATCTTATCACCCTTTCAACGTCGCTCCCAAAGGGGGAACCTACACTTTCATCACATGTGTTGCCACCTACTCATTCTCGATTGGTTGATTTCAAACGCCGCTACAATGCTACAAGAATGGACACCCAGTTCAAAGTAGTATAACTCCATCTATCTATAGTGATATAATAATCTAACATAATATAACATAATAATAAATTATAATATAATATAATAAACTATTAAATAACATAAAATAATACAATAAATTATAATATAAAATCATAATACATATATTTATTATATCATATCATATCATGATGTATCCACCAGAAATCCCAGTTAGATCGCCCCACCCTGGCGCCAACTGGGCCCTCGGAACATCCGGTGGTTGAACTGCACCACGGCCGTCTCCTCAAAAAGAGCTCGCCACTTCTCCAAGGGTGACGAAATGAAGGACCACCATTCCTGGGTGTCACAAGGGCGAATCAAACATGTGGATGGTAGATATGACTTGGTATGAATGCTTGCTCATATTCTATACTTGATAAATTCAGTATCTTCTAGTACGTTCCATCTATAGATCTATATATGCACCGTTTTTGGCCCTGTTTTTTGGGATGGATTCAAGTTTTGAGCCACAGACTTTTGAGAATATCTCGGGCATGGATCAACAGCCTTCATATGTTAGGCTTCCAAATCTCGAAATTAGCAGTGTTAAGTGTTAAGCATCAGGCCCTTCAATGTGGAGGACCAAAGATTTTGAGCATCTCTGAGCACATGTTAGCATTTGTACTTTATCTATTTATATATACTTCTGTATATATATATATATACTGAATAAATGAATAAATAAATAAATAAACACATAGTAAATAAATAAATAAATAAAATAAATAAATAAAATAAAATAAATACATAAATAAAATAACATAAATAAGTAAATAACTAAATAAAACAATAAATAAAATAAATAAATTAATTAATACATATATATATATACATATAATAATTACCTATATTTATACATATATATATATATTATATTATATATTATATATATATTATATATTATTATATTATATTTGTAACTCCAACATTGATGAAACCAGAACCAAGACTCAGGTGGCACCCAGTCATCCAACATCTTGGGCCAAGTGTTGTAGGCACGACCAGCATCGTTCCTCACAAGGGTTGCTTCACGTCTACGACTATGGCATGACAAGGGATGCAAAGAATGCAGCGTGTCACACAGGTCTTTAACTTAAACTGTGGAACCACGGTTTGCAACGATTTACTGATGATCTAATATGATCGAATCACAGGAACATTACTTGATTCCTGATGGCTCTTGCATGCTTTTGGCTACAGTTCAAGGTCGACAAGCATCCCGGCCACGAAGGGGCCACTGAGCAATGTGAGCGTCACAAGGGCGGTGGTTGGAAGGGCCATGGCCCTTAACTGCGTGGCCGCTTTGACGGCTTGGGCGCTCTTGTGCATTGCACCGGGGCTTGGGCGCAGCAAACTAAAGGTGTTCCTTGGCGGGGCATCCAATTTTTTTTCCCCCAAATCAGCTGACAATCAACCACTGCAACCTGTGGCAAACCCAACCACAAAACAATACCTAACATTAATACATTATCTCTTTTGGAGCTCATAAACCGTACAGCAATGAGAAACCATGGGGTTTTATGGAATTTTGTCATTCTGGGCAAACTACCAAAACAAACAGTTTTTCGGATGGTTTCCCTCATCATGCAAAACGATGTCGTTCTTGAAGTCGCTACAACTTACCATATTTACCCAGACCAATCATACCCAGATCGTCCTTGGAAGCCCAGCATCCACACGCAGCCGGCATAGATGGTGAGGGCGGCCGTCCAGTGAGAAGCCAGGCGGTAAGGCGAGACACGCGGCCGTTGGTTGGGGCCCAAGGTGGGTGTGTGCTTCTCCGGTGGGTCAAAACCGCTCCTACCACGGGCTTCGAGGAGGATGGTTGTTCCATAGTGAATTCATAGTGGTGGTTCAAATATGATCCACCTTGGAAAAGGACTGGATGAACATGATGAGACACGGCGAATCAAATCTAGTTATATCTAGTTCACCCCTGTCGAAGCCCCACAAATCTAGATGCTGACAGTTCCAGCTTCCCCCGCCCCGAACCAGCGAACCCAGGCCTGACCATCCACCAGCCCACGAAGGCTTGTGAAAGGCCCAGAGCAAAAAGACCTGTGAGGTTCAGCCCTAGCCGTGCCCGTAGAATGCCGCGGCCGGCAAAGTAGACCAACGGACCCGCGAACAAAAGCCCCGCAGTTCGGCCCCACATGCCTGGGACGGGCAAGAAATGCAGCACTTGGGATGTGCACTTCATCCTTTATTATGTGCTGCCCATACTCCTCAATCCGCCAAAACATCAACTTCATCAAACAACTGTCGCTTATTCGCAGAATGATGCCATTTATCTACAATGATCCTCCCTTACTTAAGGACAAACTTATTTTCATTCATGATTTGTTTTCCTATGGGCCACGATAGTGGCACAAAAAAGGTGACCAAAGCTGCGAACCAATGCAACCGGACGTCGATGGAACCACTCGACGAAGTAGATCCTTTTGAACTCGTCCAGTTCCATCTTGCCACTGTGCAAGCGCTGGTACCTCACAAAGACATAGATTTCAGTAGGTCAAGGGTCTCGAATTTTGGTTCATACCAGAAAATCAATGGGCTGGCCAGCTACCTGTTCTTGGAGTGTGCCACGAATCAGTGGTTGTTTGAGAGCGCAACTGCTAAAGCCAACATGAAAGCCCTCAATTTATCAGGGTTTCCAAGTTCCAAGTTCCAATTTCCAATTACAACAGGCAAGTGCCATACTGGAAAGGAGATGAGGTCCAACCTACAGTAGAAAAGGGGTCATTACTGCCATCCAGAAGGATAAACGTAGTTGAATACATTTGACTACTAACGTGTCACTAAGATTATGAGTGATTAATTAGGTTTACATAGGTACGCCCCCATGATCTTCTCATGCATTCTGTGATGCATAATTACCACTTTTAAGGTGATGTTGGCAAGCCCTGGATACCATGATGACCCAGCTTCTAAAGTTAAGACCTTAACAGACAGTTCAAGATTGAACAGCTAGAAAAAAAACAGCAGCAGCCAGTCCTTAAATTTGCCAGGAATAGAAAGAAATAAACACACAAAAAAACTGCAAAGCACTGCAAAACTGCGTGGTTTAATGGGATTTAATGGTGGTTTAATGGGATAAACTGCCAGCTGAGTGGCTCTGGATACTTCTTGTACTCTTCAAACTCTTTGACCCAGGCCTCTTGCGTCCAAGGAAGTCTTCGACCTTCCAGGCGCCAGTCGGTCATTGATAAGCCGCTGCCAGAGAGACGAGTGTATCCTGGATCCACGTTATGGGATACCCGGCCTGGTAAACATACAAAAAGCTATTGAACATGGTGATTTATAGTGTATTTTCCCATTGAAAATGGTGATTTTACCATAGCTATGTTAAATTACCAGAGGGTATGTCATGGGGATGTCATTGAATTAGTGGATTGTGACTATCATGAACCAACCATTGGTTTGGAATGTGTCATTGAAAATTAAACATTGCTATTCACAAAACCCTAGGGGGACTAACATGATTGTGAATGGCGATTACACCAACAGAGGGATATAATCTCAAGAATAGTGGGAATATCATGGGATTAATGATTAGTGGGTCTTGAGGGGAATCACCATTCAATGAGAATTAGTCCAACCATCATGGTGATATAATGGTGGTGTATAACGTCAAGCGGATTCGCAAACCCAGACTATTAATTGGGTTACCTCCAGAACGGTGATAAATACCAATGGACATTGGCAACCCTCTGTTATATAATATAATTATATGTACAATATATATATATGTATATATATTATGTGTATGTGTGTGTGTGTTTCAAACATATGAAATGGTATGAATGTGCGATCCAACCCTGCTTTCACCTCTGGATTGATAAGCCCTGACTAAGAACAAAAACGCAGGTGTCCAAAACCAACAAAAATCATCACCAGAAATGACATCACCATGGGGATCTCATGGGATTCCTGGGTCATGGGAAATTCATCCATCAACGGGTCCTCCAATGGCAATCATGCTGAAGAGCATTCCGCAAGTCCTGGGATGTTCCGGTTGCTTTGTCCAAAACATACCTACCATCAATTGTGGAGAGGCTGCTTGAGGTTGTTTTAAATAAACATCCAAATAGGTATTGGTTCGCGGACTGGCAGCTTATATTGCAACCCAAATACGAACATCAATATATATATATATTTAAATCTTGTAAGATGTAAACATACATCACAATCATGATGTCACATGTATACATCTGTCTCTCTCCCGCTTTCTCTATTGCCATCTGGTTAGGCCATACACGGACTGCATCGGCATCCATCATCTGGCAATGGAAAATCCCTCAATGATTACCTTCCAATACGCATCAACAACTAATCATGTATCAAGGTGTATTATGAATTACCCCCTCGCTGTTTATTAGCTTATATATTTAGATTTATGATTTATATAGCTATTTGGGTAATTAATCATGCAACTCATGTGGTACACAATCCGTAAGACATCAGCATATAATTGCTGCATTATTATCGTTACCTACATCATTTAAATATAAAATAACATAAGTAAGTATGTGTACACATAACACATATAAATATGTGTTGATATATATATATATTATACATACATGTATATATATATATATATCTCTCTCTCTCTCTCCATCCCCATCCAATAGGTCCAGCTAAGCTGAAGGCGAGCAGGTGTATATATATATATATAGAGAGAGAGATAAACATGTTTACTGTGGCAAAACCGAAGCCCTAAACCATCTCACTAATCAACCAGCATCCCATTACGTGCACGCTCAATTTCAGCTAAAACCACAATTGGAGACGGGGTTTTACTATACTATACTGGTTGGTGGTTTCAACCATCTTGAAAAATATTAGTCAATGGGAAGGATTATCCCATATACTATGGAAAATAAAAAAAGTTTGAAACCACCAGCCAGTATAATATTTCTGCCAAGATATTATCATTGTATCTCACAACTACCTCATCATGATACATCATGATCCCATATTGCTGGATCTGCACCTCCAGCAAATGAACATAGGTATGGAACCCCCTCCAGTTGTAGACAGTGTTCACATAAGAAAACCGTTTAGTAATTGTTCATAAAAATGGATAAACCTTAATAAACCAGACTTGGGGATGCTTTACGGGTAGTAAAACACATTAAAACACCCTCCCCACATGAAACCGAGCCAAGGCTCCCTGCCAACCAAAGGCCTACTGTCTTCTCCCAGCCGGGCGTGACAAGCTCCCCGAGTTGCCTGAAAACAACGGTGGCTTGAAGTGGGAATGGGATTTGAATTTAGGATAGGGATGTGTAGGGGATATTGAAGTAGAGATGTGATATGATCTGGGTAACTTTTTGACCTCCAAATTAAGATTCAGAAATGCTGCATCTCTTCTTGGGTGTTGCCTGGTGTTGCTATCTTCTAGAAGCCCTCGTGGCGGTAAATTTAATGATTTTTGGTAGATTTTGCATCTTTGAGCTAATTTAATGGTATGATGAATATGAATCCATTATATAAACATATGCTAAAAATCTGGATTTCCAGTTGGAGACGAGGCCCTGGAAGGGTAAGCCATAGACTGCCTCCCAGGCCATGAATGCTATCTGTTGGTGGGTCTAGTTCACAGCAGCACACATGTCCCTCCATGTTGCAAGAATACTGCACAATTGTCCCAAAGTCCCAAAGATTTCATTCAAGCAAAGCATGGACACAATTCCTGTCCCCCATCCCATTGCAAAAAAACTTCTGCCACTTTGATTGACATGCCTTTATTAGGATGCCCAACCCGTTTCAGGTTGGTTACCCTCTAGAAATTGAACGCTGGTGAGAGTGAGACCATGCAAATATTGGTTGCAAATGAAGCTCTTTTCGTCTTCTTCTCGCTCTCTCTCTCTCTCTCACATTTATCCCCAAAGAATTATCTCCAAAGGCCATGAGGCCATGGCTATTGCTGGTTGTATAGTTCTTTCTCTCTCTCTCTCTATGCTATACTCCAATTTTCCATAATTTCCGGAGAAAACACCACATTCACCACGTCGGAGTTTCTTAAAATGGGGGTCCCATTTTAACCATGGCTTCCTATACTTAAAACATGATCAATGTCTGTAATTTTGGATGAGTTGAGGCTACCCCCATGACTTCGGAAACCTGCCAGGTGGCGCTTGGGCTGCGGGCATCGCCATGGTCGCCTTGCACCTCCATGGCGCGATAGCAACGGTCACGCAGCGCGATAGCAACGGGCTGGGTCGGACAACGCCACTGGCGCGCAGGACATGGCGCAACGGCAGGCGCAACATGGGTAGTTAGTTTCGAACGTGGCTTTTTGGTGCATTAAAGCTATCCATCAATTTATCAATCTAAAGATCTATCTATGCATCTGTTTATTTACATGCATTGCAAATACGTATACATATACTGTATTATACTGTAAACTGTGTATATAAATATATCTCTCTCTCTCCATCGCCATCTCAGGAGATCAGCAGTCAAGCTGAAGGCGAGCTAAAAAGGTGACGTGGCAGGTCAGCACACAAGCTCGTTATTTATATCTATGATGTATAATTATTTGTGTGGGTGTGTTGAAAAACTGGCCTCAGGGCATACGTGCATTATCATGTATCTTGATAGATCTGTAATGCATGATCTGTGCGTGTGTGCATGATGCCCGTGTAAGTGGAAGTATACACATAGTTCTACATCAATGTGGGCGCCAAGAGTGTCTACATGAAGGAGAACAGGCTGAAGAATGTCTGCCTCAGTCTGGCCGTCCGTCATTTCTGGATAATCGCAAGGCCACTGCTCCCAATGCATGTTCTCTTGAACCACTGCGGCCACAACTCTGGAGTGGTGCCAGGCGCATCGCTGGACTCTGCTACATGTTATTGCTCGCGGTGCTGAGGAAGTTGCAAATGGTACAAAACATTTCAAGTATATGTAGCTAATGTGGCTGGGTGTTCCCCAGCAAGACTTCCCAGGGATAAAACATGATGAAACTCCTCCAACCTGGGAGGCCTCCTAGCTGGTCACGGGAATTGTTAAACCCTTCCATCCAATTCCATCAGAGGTTTTTGTGGAAACAAGGGAGAGGGACTTGAGAATATGTCCATGCTATCCAGCGACTTTTAGAACGATTTATATATGTATAATCACATATACATATACATATACATATACATATACATATATATATACACATATATATATACATATACATATATACATATATATATAATATAAACATAATAAGAATAGGGATGACGATAATGTGGTACCAGTAAGCCCAATAACAAACCTTTGGTGATGATTTTAGATCCATGTATGATAATATTGGGGATTCTTTATTACTATTGAATATGAATATTGCACACACTACCATGGTTGACCACCAATTCACCACGAACGGGTTGCTGCGCCAAAGGGGCGTGATTTCGCTCCATTTCTGCGGCATCGTGAAGCCATGGTACAGCAAATAATCCGCCTCAGCCAAACATCCCGTGCTGGGTGACCATCTGGAGGTGATGTTATGAGCAGGTTTCCAATGCGTGGGGGGGACCCCAATAGTTTGATGGTTTATCATGGATCATATGAACGTTTATCGACCGACCCGTCTCGATATATGTTTTTTGGACAGTAAGAAAGATGTTTGACATCTGGAAAAAAAAACATACAGAGGATGTCTCCAATACCCAAAAGGTACTGAAGAAAACCAATCTCCCAGCGAGGTTACCATCTTGTGCCACCAACATACCCTCTGATTCTCTCTGTTCAGCTTTCTGTTTAACATTGTTTAAATGTATTTAAATGTGGTATCCGGAATTGTCAGTCCTCGCGATATTATATATGATTCACTTATAGATGTCGAATCTGATTTTCTATCCACAATTTGGATGATCGTTCCCATGAATAAAGCCACCATGGGTTTTCCACATCCGCGTTGTTCCAAAAAACCCAGGGTACCCTCTGGTAAACTAACATAACTATAGAAAATCACCATTTTCAATGGGTAAATCCACTATATATTGTCATTTTCAATAGCTATTTTGACATAACCAGAGGGTATCATGTCCATGCGCCAAGAACTGCCAAGAGACGTTGGAGCGCACACCGTAGCCCACAGTAATAGCCTTGGAGCTGCAAGGAGCTCGGTGCAGCGAGGACGGTGTGAGGGCTTGCCAGTGCTGAGCGGTTTTTATCACAAAACGACATGGAAAACCATGATTGTCTTTGGTGACAGATATCATCAGATATCTATACATGGTGGGTTTTTGAAGTCTATGTTCAGTTACCCGGAAATGGAATGGAAATGGTTTATCGACCCCGCCAGAAGCCCTGCCGGGACCCCGCGCCGCTTCGGGTGCAAGGTCCTGCCGCGCTTTCAGCGTCACAGCCGCCGCGTCGGCATCCTGCGGACACGCAACCTATAGCACCCCCGCCCCCCCAGAAAAAAAGGATAGAAAAGACGTTTATCAATCATTTATTATGATATATTAGTTGGATTTTCACATTCATCTTTACGGGGTTGACAAAGCCAATCTTAGTCGGATTTGACTTTCCTTTTTTTGAGGGGGTTGACAAAGCCAATGGTAAAAATTGGGTATGAGATCAAGAAATTCAACTCCGAAGGCCTTTAAATAAGCGACAACCAGATTATATATATATAATTATATACATATATATATAGATACACGTGCAAACAGCATGGATATCTAAAAAATGTGTTTGGTTTACCCTTTTGTATGTATGGTATATCTGTTCAGGTATATATACTGTATACATGTAATATGATGTAATATGTAAGTCATACTGTGCTCTTATCTATATAATGTAGTGTAATATGCTGCAGTGATGCAAATTCAATATTTGAAATCAATTGATTCCAGTCTCAGTAGGGAAACAATTTTGAAGGATTTCGCTCTCGATTGCTAGGAGGGACAAAACGTATGATATCACTATCAGATTTGTTGCAATTTGATGCCTGGTGGTTTCTAGAATGACGTGATTCCCAACCATCTCGCTTGACGTTGATCATCGCAGGCTTCAAAATATCGACATGCATTATGTGGCCTGGCCAGTGGTTGGAGCCTCCGCTTGTGGAACCCTAAACCAAGCCCCGCACGGATCGAACTTAGGCATCTGACAACAAAACTTGTACAAAACCTGATTTGTTTGGCCATGACATTGATGGTTTCCAAAAAAAAACACTCATTGAAGGGGCTTGGTCGCAAATGAAGTCCGTTGAAAAATATCCAGAAACTCACTTTCTTTCTTCACATGCCTGATCTTTTTCATGAGCTCCCAATTTCAGTTGATTTACACAATCATAATCTATCATAATCAAGCTCTATGGATAGGAGCAGGTTTACATATTATTTGATAACTAATCAAGTTGCAAGAAATGTTTGAAAACAATGTTTTTGTGGCTCAAGAATCATGGGCATTGGCCAATGCATTTGGATGGGAATTAGCCCAAAGACAGCCTCAAAAAAGAAGTAAGTGCGGTACAAACACAGCAGATTCTTTCGGTAAAGAATCTGTACCCTCTGGTAAACTAACATAGCTATGGAAAGATCCACCATTTTTAATGGGAAAATCCACTATTAATGGCCATTTTCAATAGCTATTTTGACATAACCAGAGGGTAATACCCCAACATTGGACACATTTGGACCTGCGGTACAAACACAGCATCTGAGGGACCAAACGTAGGAGATGTTGGTCAATGACTCGCGCTCCTCTGTGAAATGAACGTCATTCCAACCCCCAAAAAGACAGGGAAGCTGGAAATTTGGAAAGATCTGAAAAGATATGGAGGGAATCCGGGAAGCATCATCTATGAAATCCTTGAGTTTCTCTATTTTTGGTCGAGTTTTGGTTCTATTTCAGTTTTGCCGCACGTCAGGTCATCTCCGGTCCTGATACTTGAGCAAGTCATCGCTGGAAAAGAGCGGTTGCCTGACTGTGACTGCTTGTGGCTGGGGAAAATATGGCTTGATATCACCAATATGTTTGTAACATATCTACCAGATTTCATCTGATGTCTTTATTTAGAACATATTTTTAGATGCATTTTTAGGGGATTCGTAACATGGGTTGACATGTTGCACAGAGTCTCCGTGCTCTGGGATCGGCAAATGATGATCCACCAGGTCAATCAGTGGCATGATGGCGAGCTGCGGAGAGGTTTGACCTGGGCCAATTGGGGTATCATTCCATTTGGGTCTTAAAAAATAGCTGAAAACATGGGAAAACCTGGTTTCCTCCGGTCAATTTGTTCATTTTTTCATACCCACCAAGCGAGGAGAAGCCATTCTGGAGAAGCCCCAGAGGTGAACGTGTACACGATGAATAGATTGGCGCAAATGCAATGTTTTTGGCAGCCACCAAGATTTTACACAGAATTTGGTGAACATTGAACATAGGCAAATTATGGTTAATTCCAAACCGATCTTTTTGGGGGCTACTAGATACTAGATCAGTACACGCCATACATTGTGCTTTTATTTAACTTTCTCCATTTTCCAAAAGCAGAAACACATGCCAGATTTTGAACTAAATGTCTTTTTTCCCTACCTTCAAATCGCTACCTCTGAACATCTCTGAACATTGGGAACGACATTTGTGGTGAACACATGTAAACAAAATAATAAACCTCGAATTCTGGAGGGTGTGTACCCACCCATTTCTGGTGAGTCCTACATGGCCCCTTTCCTTGGGCCGGGCCACTTCGGTTCTCCCGGTCGGGGAGGTGAACCGTCTCACCACGAGACATCACCACCATGGCCCACTTTTTGAACCTCAGGGCAGGTGATGATTCCATGATTAACCTATTTAATCTAACTCATGCGTAGGCAGGTGATGCGTTTATAATCTAACTTCCAAACTAATTCCACGTGTTTTCATCATTGGATTACCAGTTGGTTGCAGGGAAAAAAAAGTAAAATGCTATGCCGCTATGCTACACTGCATTTGTTTGAGGCAGGAAACGTATGGAAAGTGTCCAACAGATTTTGTGAAGAAATCCATGGTTGGAGAACACACAAAAAGGTCACCCTGAAGACCTCCCCGCAAGTTTCATTGGAATCCTCAGCTCGCCTGCAGAAGAATGCTTCAAAATCACTGAATCACCAATTAATTTTTGCTGAATTTACCCTCTGGTAAATTAACATAGACCCTAGTAGATAGGGGTTGGAAGACTAGTTTCGACTACAAATGGGTCATTTTCAGGGTCTATGTTAATTTACCCACCCATGTGGTGATTCTGAGGAGGTTCCTCTTGCCGACCATATCCAACCATCATTTCCTGAAGGCCGTGTCAAGGTCACTAGATTCACTCAGATGCACACTGCCTTATACATCAAAACAAAACAATCTGCACTCAACCTTATCAAATCCTGGGGTTGGATTCGGATTAGTATTATGTTCCCCACCAAAAATGGGAGTCAACACATATCAAGATGATCTTTTATCAAACCAAAATGGATCAAAATTGATGGCTTCAAATGGCTTTCCCTCCAATAAGCTAACAAAACGACTACTGAAAAAAAAAAACGTTTTCTAGATGAATTACCTATAAAAAATTGCTGGTTTTCAATGGCTATGTCACTATGTGACTTTCCCTTAGAAAGGTTGCCCTCAAGATGTCCGACAGCGCTTTTTCTGAGGCTTCAGGCTCCACCACGCTGACGGAGGACTCCAAGCTGGGCACCAAGTAACTCAGCTTGTGGTACTCCGTCCTCAGCGATCCCTAGGATCCCCGAAATGGGGGGACCGAAATGGGGACCCAGGGGGATCCAGGGATGCCAGAAATGGATAGAAATGGGAAGTGAGTCATACTATCAATGGCCCATAAAATATGGTCATATAATGTCTTATATGGTACTAACGTACCTCCATTTTAGGATCCTGAAATTCCCATTGATACTATCATACTATCATCTTTAGCATTGTAAATTTCATGGCAGTGATGGCCATTGATGTTGCCTGCTTTTCAACCAAAAATTGGAAATGAACTGTCCAAGGACTGCGTTTCTCCTCCAACACAAGGTGTTACCAGGGTCCCCAAAAATCCGGGCACCTTGAAAACCGAACTAGTCCTATCTCCCTAATTTAAACCCACCAATAAAACATGGTCCCAGCTATATATCCAAATATGTGTATAATGTATATAAATCTCCTACATCCACCATAGTTTCTGGGGAGATATTCAATATGAACGGAGGATGGGATTAGATTTCATCATATCCTATTCCGAAAATAACATGTTATTCATTTTGCTCGTTAAAACCCATCATTTTGGCTGGCTAAAACCCATCATTTTGGCTACTGCCTCACCCAGCCCTCCCTGAGCGACTCGATGGCAGCATGGACATCAAGGATATGGACCTGGGCCATTGCTTTCGTTCTTCTTTGGATTTAGAACATTGAGAACTACATCATGTATATATCAAATATGTGTATATGTATATATATATGCTTCTATGTATATACTATATAGCATATACTTTTTTTTAGAACACAAAATCATTATGCAGTTGTCTGACTGTCTCAGTGAAGATCCACGCTTGATTTCACCTTTTTTTGCGATCTTGGGCACCAGCATTCAGAAGATCCGTGCCATTAAGCCATTTCAAGCTTTCCTTAGAACGAGTTGGAACCGTCGGAACCATCCCAGAAAGGTCGGAGGATCATCTGCCAAACATGGATGACATACAAACTTTGCAAAAAGGACAGAATCACATATAGATCAACAACAATCTGTAATTGCATGGATGAACTTTTGCCCTACTTTTTTGGGGACCTCTTTATGCTGTTGTCGGTTATGTTCATCTTTGCTGGTACAGTCCTGCTGCTAGGCCCCTGACGTCGTCCCAAAACAAAGGCATGTAGGACCTGAAAGATGCTCCGGGTGATCCATCGATCTCTCCAAATCCATTTGTGCATGACTATATGTATACGTATCAATGTATTGCGAGCATATATGCTCGAATGGAGATAAATGTTTGTGTATTTACATATATATATATTTATACACATCATGTGTATAAATATTATGTGAATGGTTGTGCATATGTATCTAATTAAACAACAAAAACAGAAACGGAGGAACCAGGAAAACCAGTTTTTGGTCAGGATTGGGGGTACCGAATTTGCACCATCCCGGTAGCTCACCCAACCCAAACACCCTATGTATAACCATGTGCCAAAGCTAATATGTATATAGCCTTAACTACAAACATCTACTAGCTGAGATACCTATGTAATCCTATGTAAATATCGGAGATGATATCTATTTCCTTGGTCCAAACCGGGACAATGTGTCGGCCTTCAGCGGGAATATGTTCATGCTCGCTTCACCATGATTCACCATGACCCCTGAGTCCCTCACAACGCGGCATCCACATACTCACGCTTCAGCAAGGTGTCAAATCTCCAGCCTCGGAGTGCAAAGCTGCAAAGGAGGAGACTCATCTCACAAATTTCCAGCTTTGCATTGTTCTGCATATAAAGGGCTACCTTCAATATATATATATATATATATATAGTATATGAAGGTTTCGGCTGTAGCTAGGGACCCCCGACGCTCAGCCTGCCTTAGCGGCATTTGAGCCATTGCCGCGGGTGCTGTCTGGATTTCGCAGCACCTTCTTGCACTTGTGCTCCACTGGTCCAGCGCAGGCCAGTGCCACCTTGGCTCATTTCATTTGTCCACCTCGCCAAGCTCACCTTGGACATTGGGGACATCTTCAACAGATCTTGGTGCTCCCGAGTCCCAGCTCGTAACCTCCTGGGGTAGTGGCTGCCATTAACTTGGCCCACTATTTTGCTGGCGGCCTGCTTTTTCACAAGTTTGACTTGGTCCTTGTGTATAACTCCCGCTTTGCTTTGCCCAAGATCTACATGTTCATTGTTGTCTTCTTCCTGACGTTCCTTCTGAACTTTGTGCACCATTACGCCTACGCAGAGACGAAGTGCTCGCCGACAACGTGCAGTGGCGAGACGCCGTTGGCATCTACACCGCACTGGCAGGGTGATTTTGACCTGGACGCAACTTGGAGTGCTCTACAGACAACTCCAAGCCCATCACAGCAGAGACTTTCTTTTCCTTGCGAAAATCAAAGCAGCCATGGAGTCCTAAAACGAACCATGGAGATGCCGCTTCTGCATGCGGATGGTGAGCCCGACTGCGGACGCATGTGGCGGATGTTGGGGATCATGGACGATGTGTCACGATCCGACGTACGTACACAAACCGCCGCAGCGACGAGCTCAACAACCTCAATATCAAGAACAAGCAGGCGACTGGTCAAGTACACCATGGAGTGCCTCAGACAATTCATGGCGCCCTGCCAGCAAATCGCCACGCAGAAGGACTCAATCGCCCCGCCAGCGAAATGCTGGCTGGAGGGCCAATTCGAGAAGAGCACAATGGAGACAAGAACCTCCGGAAGCTTCTGGAGGAAAAGGTTATGGAAAGGGCCAAGAGAAAGGCAAACAACAAGAGAAAGGAGGAGCTGCAGCGTTTGGACACTTGCCGCCTCCACTACTTGGATCTCACCACCAGCAGCGCCCTTTCCTACGGAAACTCCAGCATCTGCATCAACTACGGGGACGACCTCGAGTACGGCAATGCAGCCCTTTGGCAAGCCACGACAGGAGAAAGAAGATGCAGAACTTCTAGCTCTTCGCCATCTTCATTCCCAGATACGTGGACAAGCTGGAGAACAACCAGAGGAGATCAAGAAGGCTCTTGCCGTCATCGAGGCGAATTCCCGAAAGGACGATGCAAAGAGCTACAAACAACTGATCTATCTCTTGACTCAGGCTCGCAAAAAGCTCTCGGATGTGGAGGAACAGTGGGATTCTTTCCGTACACAATGGACAGAATACCTAGACAATGCCACCAAAATGTGGACAGCACACATCGACTCTTTCGAAGAAGGCGAGCAGAAGTTCTCGGAGAAGAGAAGAGAAGCCGCGCTCTACCTGCAGTACATCAGGACTCAGCTCCACGATGTTCATGTGAGAACCATGTCCATGGAAGGCACGGTACCCTCAGGGGAGTTGCAGGAGGGACAAACAGTGCTGGACGACACGATGACAATCATGGATGTCGAGGACACCATTGCCCAGCCTCAGCTTTCACAGCTGAAGACAGATCTGAAGGGCGTCGTCCAGAAAGTCAAAGACACTATAGAGGAGAAAATGAGCAAGAGACCGCTTGCATCACGTGCTGGCGACGGAGACGATGTCACTCTGGTCGAGCCAGCCGACAAGAAGCAACGGGAATCCAATTAGCCCTGACCCTCCGTGCGTCTGAGGAGGCCAGTTTGACGTGCCATTCAACTGCAGTCAACTGGAGAGGCAAGGGGCGACATGAGCGACGGAAGCAATTTCGTCGCATGACCTTTTGGCCAACAGTCGAAGCTGTCACAAGCCATGGTCAAGTACAATATGAAGTTTGTAATCTCATAGCAGGCACGAACACCAAGGAGATTGTCGTCCAGAGCAGCAGCCATTGTGGGTCTTTTGGCTGTGATCAACCACCATTACATTCCATTGTCATGGAGGAGGACTACATCAATCCTTGGAATGCCCAAATCCGAGCACTTTGGCTTGAACATTCGGTTCGTTCACCAATTTTGGCTCCACATTTTGACGGCCTATTCTTTGAACATTTTCTCAAGGATCAACGCCATCCAGTTCCAGTATCTGATCTACTTGCTCTAGGGATTCTGAAGCAATGCAGGCCTGATCAGGGAGAAGTTCCAAATCTACCAGATCCGCCTGAGCACACAGAAGCACATCAACCAGGGAGTGCTGGCGCGCAAACGCCGAGTCAGCCCTTGCACAGTTTTCCTGCTTGGGTGCAAGAACTGTGGGCGCTCCTTCAAAGAGAAGGTGCCACGGAGCTCTTAGAAGAGGGCCCCATCATGTATTTGGACTCCTTCTACATCAGTCATGTGAATCATCCACGGCAGACATTGAATCGACCTGTTCGCCTTGACCGACATTATGAGGAGTGGGGAGAGACCATCAAGGACGTCTGGACAGACTTCTTTGACAGAAATGTGGACTTCGAAGTCTTCTTGATCCAACCAAATCCTCCAACTCCGGTCACCAGAGGCACCATTGCTAGTCTTCTTGTTGTTCAACACCCACAACGACATCATGTGGCGGCACTTACATCAGCGCTCATTGATGACATTGCCGGATATCGCATTGAACAACTTGCGCACTCATTTCGCGCTCAAGTGTCTCATCAACAAGTTCTGAGACAAGCTGGGCTCTTACCTGAATGCATTGCGACCCGACGTCAAGGACTTGACCCCTGCATCATTCGAGCAGGAGCACATGCATTTCCTCCAGATCAAGAAATACGACTTCATGACGGCCTTGGTTTGACAATTGATGTCCCCATGATCATCGATGAGGCCCGTTGGCAGCGCTTTGTCATGCCACGGCTACGGGAAATCCAACAAGATGGCCGACCTCCTGTAGAACCAGATGCGACCAGCCTCATGGCACGGAGACCACAAGCAAGACGCACCGACAGTAGCATGTCAGTGTCATCACGCACATCCACAAGCTCTGACAGCTCCTCGTACTCTTCCGAGTCGCCAGTCAGCTGGAAACGTGCAGTTGTCTATGCTTTGGATGGTCAGACTCATTCAGTTCTGCTGCCATGGAGAGAAGGAGATGAGCTATACACGAGAATTGCGGTAGCGTTTGGCATACCCTCGAGCTCAATCCTACAGCTACATCATGTTGGTTTTCGACCAGGAGATCTTGAACAAATGGAACTTCAAGCACTGCTCCTCCAACAACATCATGAAGTACGCCCAGCGCCGAATCTGCAACTCATCCTCTTGGACCTGGAGATTCATGAGGACAATCCCATTCTGCCAGGAATCTTCCGCAGAAAAGCACACTGGGCACCGAAGATCACAACCATTGACACGCTGTTCCGAGTGTTGGGACTCACCTCTACATATCGACAGCATGCTGATGAGAGCCATCTCTGGCTTAACAACATCCGTATCGATCTGCAGAGGAACACACCACTCCGCATCGTTGACGGCGACTACGTTGAGATCTTTATCGGAGATCTGGAATGCCGGGACACACTTCGCAGTGCTAGCGAAGAGGAAGATGAAACGCAGATTCTTCTACAAGTACCCGCACACCATGATCACAAGATTTCTGATCAACAGCAACGACATGTCTCCAGCTTGGACGCTTGTCGTTCAAATGAACGCTTTCACAGGAATGGAGGTCATTGACAACGTCAACCTGCAGACATTGACCCAGAGCATCGTACCAGACGTGCCATCTGGAACCGACCTGAACTACAACAACTTGACCTCCAAGACGAGCCAGTCATGGTTGTAGACACATGGTTCATCAGTGCACTCAATTTTCCGAGATGCTCAACATTCAGAACAATTGCGCTACCCGCTGATGTGACACAATGGGACAACAGATTCATGCAGATATGGCGTGATCGAGTTCACCCGCATTGGCCATTGGAAGTATTCCATGTACATCCTGATCCACAACCAGCACCACACCTACGACATGGAGGACACATCATCATCCTTCAGCATGGACATCCTGGAGAAAAAGCGATACTGCTTAGCAGTTACCATGGCAGGTTACATGACCGTTTTGCCCAATTGGTCCCTGCACAGCTTGACTTCGACAGATTTCTATGGTTCCAGGATCATGAAAACTTGTGTGATCAGACTCGAACCCATTGTGAAGGTTTTCACGGCCGAGAAGCCATTCCGCATCATGCAGTTTGGCACTGTGAACACGGCCAACATCTGGAGCTCCATGTTCACATGCGGGCAGTTGAAGAAACATCTCTAATGCAGACACAGACCACACAGAGATATGATCATCAGCAGCCACAAAATGATGCTGTCGACATTCCAGCCAACAGCAATGAGTGTGGACACTTCGACTTCAACCCGAGCGCAGCAACATTCTTCCCTGGTCAACAGGCCATCTTTGGACAGCCTGAATACATACAAGATCTTCAACTGACATGGGAGTTCCACGCTTTTGCATGGGAAAATGAAGAAGCGTCCATGACTGCAGCAGTATGGTTCGTCGATCACAGTTGGCATTGGCCGCACCATGATCGATACCGAACGATCCACCTCTATGCAGACTTCTCACAATGGGAGCGAATCATCTTGGGCGCTTGGCATGACTACATCCAACCAGGTGCTCCATACGAGATTTGTCTGGTCACGCCAGCGCCACCGTCAAGGAACAATGAGGTCTCCAGCCACATCGTCATTGTGCAACACCCACGACCTGACTGGGTGACATCTGTGGTCACAGTACAGGATGAGTTTGCGCATGGCCCAGGTTCCTTGTCGCAATGGGCTATCACCACCCATGAGCACATCTTGCTGGACAACCTCCTACTCGTCCTTGGACGACTCGGACAATGCACTGGAGCTCGACCACAGCTGAGATGTCAAGCATGGCACAACACAGAAATCCTACGGCTTGGAAGACCAATACCCGGCCGCAGTGGTTATGGCATCATCATTCAGCTGAGTCCGATCACACAGCAGCCACATGCCGCAGAAGCAGAGGGACCGGTTTTGCTTCAATTGTCTGCCATGCTTTCTCCGGCAGCTGATCCGATCGGGGCTTGTGAGCGCCTAACAACTGACGCGGTGGCTCACGGTCAGTGGCCACAAGCACCTGAATATTTC